GCAGGTATGTGTATAATAGATGCTTTAAATCTTCTTGGGAAAATATCCAGGAATTGCATTTCTAGGTGATAGAATAAGTACACAATATGCTCATCAGCAAATTGTTTCTAAAGTGGCTGTCTCACTTTAGAAACAGTTATATTCCCACCAGCCAAGTTAGAGAATTTCCATTTCTCAGTATATGTTCCCATACTTTTTCATTTTAACTACTCTAGTGGGTGTGTAGTGGTATCATACTGTTATTTCATTTTGCATCTCTCTGAAGACTACTGCTGTTGAGTAGTTTTTAATAGGCCTGTTGGAGATCTGTTTGTCCTTCTGGTGAAATATTTGCTAAATGATTTGCCAGTCTTATTAATGAATTGCAAAAGTTCTTAATAAATAATGGATATGTATTCTTTACCAGATAAATTTTGCACATATTTTCTTAAAATCTGTGGACTTTCATTTTCATAGCAGTCTTTTAAATAAAATTAATTAATTTTGCTCAAGTTGTTTCATGCATTCTTTATTTTATGCATCCTGCCTTTAGTGTCCTGTGAAATCTTTACCTAACTTAGGGTATAAGAATTTTCTTCTATGTTTTATTCTAGAAGTGTTATAGTCTTACCTCTTAAGTTTAAGTCTATGATACATTAGAAGTTCACTATATGTAGTATAAAGATTAAGATACTATTTTTGGTACATGGATATCCAATTGTTCTAAGACCTTTTGTTGGAAAGGTTGCCCTTTCCCCATTGAATTATGTTGGCACTTTACCTAAAATAAGTTACCCATAAATGTGTGCATTGACTTCTATATTTGTATTCTTTCGTATCTAGCTAAGTATTCATCTTTAGGCCAATGCCACATTCTCTTGATTATTGTAATTTATAATTATTTTTCAAGTACAGTCATGCAGGTGAATTCTTTTAACAATGGTTTTGGAACTAGTAATTAGTTTTTAATCAAATTAGTATGTATCCTGCTGGTGCCCTTACCCACACCAGACTATGATAAAAGATAGGGGATGCTCTTTGCAGAATGAAGGAAACACAGAGCTCTCTGCAGTGATGATTCATTGTGAAATAAAAAGCTTAGAAGTCTCAGCTATGAAACACACCTTTTAGCTGCTTTCATGTTTTACCTAAAAGCTAATAAGTGGAAGACTAGTTTTCTGTGCCCCTTCCTAGCCCTACCCCTTGAATCCAAAGAAGTCTTTTCCATCCTTCTAGGCACCAGATAGAAAAGGAAACAAAATTTTCTAAATAAAATGAGTGTCAGTCTGAGGCAGAGGGAAAAAAGCAGATACCTGAGTGGAAAACAAAGAGGCTAAAAGACTCAAGGGACTGTGAAGTTAGGGAGCAGAGAAGGAAAGGCAATAGTCAAGGTTCCTTTGCAGATCCAAGGTTGCTCTCCATGGACACACAAGCTATGTTCTGCCATCACAAGGGTTTTGTGTTCAGACGAGACTCAGGGCTTCTTTGGTTATCAACAATAGCAAGAAATTATCAGTAACAGACTGAACCATGTTTTCCTTCTGAAATTATTATTAATTAATTAATTTTGCTAGCGGGCGTGTGTGCTTGCCAGAGTAAGAGAGGAGAAAGCACCTCCCTGTGGAAAACGGTCACACCAAAGACAGAGACTGGTCATGCCCAATCCCTTCTCCATCACTCTTCTTTTTGGGGGGTTTTGAACATGTGTGCATATGCATCTGGCGTGTTTCTTAAGCCTCCAGGTATGGGACTTGAACTGTGTGGTAGGTCATGTGGGATCTAGCTGCCTTATCCACTAACCCATGGAGTTGGCTTTTTGATCTTTTATAATAGAGCAAAGGCATTTTATACTTCTGTTTCTCAAACTGCATTAATACAATGTGAGCTGAATATTTTAAAAGGCTTTCACAAAATGCCTAGAAGTTTTATAGTAAATATTTATACTCTTATCCAATATTAAATTTTTTTGAGTTCAAAATATGCAATATTTAGAATTTCTTTTTAAAAATCCTCTAAATTTGGGACCAGCAGTTGGTGTAATGACTATGTTGCTGGACTCCCACGTAGTCGACTATGGTTTGAGTCCCGGACCTGGTGGCTTAAACTCACACCAGGCGCATGTACGTACGTGTCCAAGATTCCGAGAGGAGAATGGAGGAGAAGGGATTGTGGCATGGCCATCCCCCCGAGGGGTGATTTATCACTTTCCGTCTCTCTGTCTCTCTCTATCTTACCGGCAAGTGCCCATGCCCTATAGCAAAAACCTTTCAAAAAAAAAATCCTCTGAAAATAGCAATTAAATGCTCAGTAACAGTGTTGATTTATCTGTTTTTCATTGTCATATATGGAGCATGTATACACCAAATTTAGAAAGAATCATATGATGGACCAGCAGGTGGTATAGTGGTTACAACGCTGGACTTCCACATGGCTGGCCACTATTTGAGTCGTGGGCAAGGCAGCTTAAAACGGCAGATTGGGCGCATGTGCAAGTGTACCCAAAATCCCAGGAGAAGAATGGAGGAGATGAGACTGCATCAAGGCCATTCTTCCTGAGGGGTGATTTCTTACTTTCTTTCTCACTGTCTCTCTCTTTCTAGCCAGCACATGTGCCCTATGGAAAAAAACTTAAAAAGAAAGAATCATATGAATATTTACTAATCAAGTCACTACAATCTGTGAATCTGAATGATTTTTAATGGTTTAATCATTGTTTTGCGGTAGGATAATTAGACACAGGAGACAGTGTGCATGAATAAGCCATAATCAGTCCACTTTAATACAGACCAAATAATCAGCCTCCTACTTTTCACTTTGCTCATTTTCCTGTGTCATGTTGAGTGTTTTCCTAACGCCATGCCCTGATTCATCTTTGACTTTTCTACGTGCACTTCATCAACACATATAAAATTAAATATCCATATCTTGAAGAATCCAAGAGCCTGAGTTCTTTGTTTCACCAGTGAAATATCCTGAGTTCTCGAGTTCCTCTTCCTATGACCAGGCTGAAAGAGT